CAGGTTAAGGAGTAACTCTGCACCAGCATATGCAGCTCCCTTGTTAAAGTTAGCAAAACTTTGCAGGTGAAGCAGTTACTGCTCATGAAGTATGTCCATAATGCATGGAGCATGGAGAGAACAACGTCTGGGGACAGAAAAACCCTCTATACACCTTTAAAGTAAAAATCGAGTGAAAGCTGTGCCTCGGGCTGTGCCTTACACACACGCATACACCCAGTTTACCAACTGTAAGCCACTGAAAGAGTACACTTCCCACCAAGATGGACACTACAACTCTAGTTTACCACATCTAGAATGTGACTTCTGAAAATCTAAGTAAAAAAAAAATACACATTTCATGTTATCTCAGCTGCGGAAGACACGCACGGAACAAGCCGAGTGAAGAAGGAGCCCTCAGTACGGCGTGCACAAGGCGTGCTGTTGTCCACAAGTCAGCATGTGTGTGTCAGGCATGTGCATGACTACTGCCATTATAATTCTGGGCAGGTGATCAGACTTGACCCCCACCAACTATGTCTGGCCCGCCAGCCAAGATCGTGTGCCAAGTGTCTGGTGTTGCCCGACTCCCCACTGGCTGGTTAATGAAGGGCTTCGCGGGGGAGTGAGGGCGGGGTGGAGGAGCGCGGGGACCGCGGAAGGGGGGTGGGGTGGGGTGGGGGTGGGCCTCACACTGCCGCTTCAATTGCAGGGCTCCGTCGGGCCAGCTGTTGATTCACAGCTCCTTTGCCACCACAACAAACAGAGGCCACACAAGGGCCGGCCGGCAGCGCGGAGCGGGCAGAGTGGGACACTGGCAGGCAGTGCTGGGCCCCCCGAAAGAAGCCCCAGCGATCAATTTCTGCACTGTCGCTACGGAAACAGAGCTGTCTCTATTGGGCTTGGAGTGAGGAGCGTCTGACTGCATTCTTCTCTCGCCCGCCCTGTCCTTTTTTCTCTCCATCTCTATCCATTACCACCTTCATTATCTCTCCTGCCGCCCCTCCTCCTCCTCGCCGTCTTCCTTTCTCCCTCCTGTCTTCCATCTCCCCTTTTTTTTTTTTTTTTTTTTTCACCTGCTTCTCTGGAACAGATCATCAGCTGTCTGTGCCTCACCCCGAGCAAGTGCGCCGGCCATAAAACGAGCCTCTGTTCTCTGGCTGCAGCCATTCGTCCGGCTGCTAATTCAAAAGGTAGACAGCAACTTCCTCAGCACAACAACAAGCCGCCTCTCAAATCCATAATGGCAGGCGAGGGCCAAACATTCGGAAAGTCAACGAAACGGGAGAAGGGGCCGGGCCTTTAAAGGCCAAAGGGTCTTCTGAGATGGGGCGCGGGCTAATGTGTTGGCTTCGGGTCGCCCTAAATGTGAATATCACGCCCCTGCAGGAACTCTCGCGGCGCACTTGACCGCTACCCGTGCGGCATTTTCGACTAACCCCGTCCACACTGTTCCAAATGACTGAGGGGTGTGTGCGCCGCCAGAACAGAGGGTTCCATTCAGCACCATGCCGTGCTCTGCAAATGTTAGCTCTGCCAGGACATTAGTCCTGCCCTGCAAAAGCCCCCGTTATCAGCCGGGGTGGGTGGGCTGGGGTGGGCATGTTAGTGGTGATGGAGCATTAGCAGGTTCCAAACAGACCTTAAAGAGTGCAAAGCTTTGAATAAGGCCTGCCTGCACAGAAAAAGAAAAAAAACTATCTTATCTCCAGTTTTCTGGTTATATCAGAGCATGTTCCCCACATTAAAGGTTCTGCGCCAACTGGAATAACATCTGAACAGCAGTTGTCGTCGGGTTGTTCTGGTTAGGGTTCAAAGGCAACACCGTCATGTTAGTTTGACAGAGAAGTGAACAGAGCAACAGCGTATCAAGAGAAAAGACTCCCTGATGTAGAATGATTAGGGACACGGGTTAGAAAATTGTGGAGTAACTTCATGTTTTGACAGAGACAAACCTTCAGCACCATCCCACAGCAGAGCAGAGAACCCAGCAGGATTTCTGGTTATCACTGGTAAAGGAAAGTTAGAGGCAAAACAACACAGTTTCCACCAGTATGTTATATCAAAGCAGACCCGTTGGGCTTATTGATGAAAAAAAAAAAAGCTCACAATCAATCCAACCTACCAAAATATTCCTTTTTCATGTGCATTTCTAACTCTTTCTCCAGCTCCAACGTGAGCGCCTCCAGTCTTTTTTCCGCTTGGCTTGGCCCACTTTCTCTGTTGGGGGTCACCTGGTAGGGTAATTTAAACCTCTGGCTGGACGAGGCCGTTTTGGAGGACACCCCGTAGCTAAACGTCCCGCCGGCCGTCTCCCCTGCGTGGACGGACTGCTGCTGGGGTTCGGCCACCGCGTGGAGGTGCACGCGACTCTGGCTCCCGTTGGAGTCTCCGAACTCCTGCAGCAGCGTGTCCTCCAGCAGGCTGCTGCCCAGCATGGACGAGCGGGGAGAGGGCAGCTGCAGGTCCGGGTAGGTGCTCATGGAGCCCCTGGAGCTGCGGGAGCTCCTGGAGCTGTGGCTGGAGATGCTGGACCTCGGGCTGACCACGCAGTTGGCGGCGTTGGTGGCCGCGGCGCTGCTGCTGCTGCTGCTGGCCGCTCGCGCGCTGCCCTCCTGGCTGCAGATGCTGGACCGGGGGCTGGCCAGCGGCGCCGCGTGCAGGATCATCACCCCGTCCAGGTCCGGGTTGCCCGGGGCGCCGTAGCGCGAGTCGGAGTAGCTGGACCTGGGGCTGGTGGTGAAGGAGTACTGGCTGGCCGTGCTGGACCTGGGGCTGGCGTGCCGCTGGTCGTAGCCCATGCTGATGCCGCTGGTCCGGTTGCTGCTGGGCTTGCTGCAGCAGTCGCAGCTGTTGAGGCTGGCCCGGGGGCTGGAGTGCTTGCTGGAGTGCTCGCTGGCGGTGCTCGCGTAGCTGGACCGGGGGCTGAGGACGCCGTTGCCCTCGCAGTGCACCACCAGGCTGGACCTGGGGCTCGTGTACCGGTCCTGGGCCGGGACCACCAGGCTGGCGCGCGGGCTGCTGAGGCTGGAGCGCGGGCTGGCGTGCTTGCTCTGCTCCTGGGAGGAGAGCGAGCAGGACGCCAGGCTGGAGCGCGGGCTGGCGGCGGAGTAGCGGCCGCCGTCGTGGCCCCCCGGGAGGCAGACGCTGTTGCACCTGTTGCCGGGCAGGGGCGCCGCTTTGCCGTGGGGCGCGCCGTCCAAGGCGGAGCCGGTGCTGTACCGGTGGCCCTGCACCTCCAGGGACCGCCGGTGCCTCTCGGAGGTGCCGGTGTAGCACGGCAGAGCCACCTCGGACTTGGTGCGGCAGCCCTCCTCGCCGTAGCCCCCCGCGTCCCGCTGCGGGGCGCAGAAGTCCACCGGCACGGTCCTGCCGCCGCCGCCGCAGCCCACCGGGCGCACCGGAGCCGCGGTGTAGACTTTATTCCCGGTGGTGATGAAGTTCTCCACCGTGTGATGCTGCTGGTGGAGCCCCGAGGTGCCGTTCGCGGGCTTCGGCTGGTGCTCCGCCGCCGCCGCCTGGACAGAAAAGTCCAACTCCGGGTTTATGACCAGGTCTCTCCTGGCGCCGTACATCCCGTCTTTGTAGGCGTCGTAGAGGGAAAGGTCCTCAATCAGCGTGGCGGCCCGGAGTCCCAAGTCTTCCTGATAGTGCTCCATGTTGCCCTCCCGAAGCGAGAGAAAACAAGTTGAGAGAGCGCCGCGCTCGCGCGAGCCAAACTCTAGCGAGCACCGCGGAGCACTAATTGCGTTTCACATGGAAATCAAAACAAAAAACGCCGCCGTGCAGCCCGTCGCTCGTTTACTCAAAAAAACCACCAACGCAGTCGCCCCGAAAAAGCCTCCGCCGCGAGCCGCATCGTCTCCCTCTGCTTTACCCCCGCTCCGCCGAAAGAAAAAAAAAACAAACTCTTTTCTCCCAGTTTCAGCCGACCGGGATACGTTTGTCAACTTCAGTTTTTGTTAAGTTGAAAGGTCTTTACAGTCAATGGCGCGCTGCGCGGAGGAATTTCTCCCCGGTGGTTTTTCTCTCTCCCAACCTCCCTTAAGAACGCCGCACTTGAAGTTAGAGCCGGCCGGATAATCGTGCACGGCCCGAAAATGTGTTTTTGTGTCGGTCTGAGGGTCGGAAGCGGCGGGGAGACGGAATAAAAGGCGCTTTTAAGCGGGGGACTCGTTTGCCTGAAAGGAATGCGGGGAGGAAGACGGGATGCGCTGCGCCCCTCTGGAATGTGGTTAATGCTGCAGAGAAACAATGATTGCGACCAACTCAGCAAGGGGCTGCCGGCTCCGGAGAGAATGGTTTTAGAGAGAAGGGGTCGTCTGCATTCAGCCCGGGCGGACTAAAATACCTCACAAAGCACGCCTCACCTGGTCCGACTCCTTCCACAGAAGCAATAGGCTGCGGTCAACTGGCGTTGTGGGGAGAGCAAATTCCCTGAGAATTTTGGTTTATCCACTTTTTTGGGGTATAATATGCAAGCATAATCTCGGGATTGTGCCCAATGATCATTGCTAATTAAAAATCCCATGAATGCTGAATAAATACGATTATGATGGACTTGTTTGGAGTAGAACTGAACTCAATATGAACTACAAGTTGTTTAAAAAGAGAAACATTTGACTGTATTTTGTTTTATTACAACAAACTTATTTCTCAGTTAAAGGTGTGTTTGACTTATTGGCTTAATTTTTAAAGCAGTCTTCCAAAGATTCATCAAAGTCTATTTTACAAAGGACCAAATCATTTCGAGTTAGAGGACACATTACATTTTTTGTCCATCCTTAGCTTAAAAAAAACAGAACAAGATTTGGATGCTTTTTGTACAGGCTTTATTTCTTTCATGTGATAGTTTAACATGATGGCACAAAAGTGTAGCATGTAGTAAGTTAACATGGATCTTTTTCTTATAAAAGGCAAACTGTTGGAAGCAAAAGAGGTAGCATTTGTAGAGTCTTTACAAAGGACAAAATGGCATGTTTTGCTTTACTGGACATTGTCAGAGAAAAGACCTTGTGGTGGTCCCATACTTTTAAAAATGAGTCTATCTATTTATAAGGCCATTTTAATTCAGCGAGACATCGGAATGACATTTTTTTTCCATCAGCTGCCAACGACTGGCAGAAACGATAGAGCCACGGCAATAAGAGCAGAAACAAACAGGATGTCGAGGAAGAATCTGCTGCTGAGGGAGCTGGGACGTTTCTTCCCATGGCCTCGGCTTCTGAACCACTGCACCACCTCGTCCAGGTTGTGCCCCTGAGGCTCGTAATCTAGTTCGGCTCTGGCTTTCTCCATGCTGAAGTAGTGCGTGACGCCGGTTTTGTACACTTCTGTTCGAGTCAGCAGGGGCTGGAAGTTGTAGAAGGGGCCGACGAGGTGGTGAATCATTTCGGTGAGGAAAGCGAAGAAGTAAATGAGAGAGATGGGAAGGCGCAGTTTGGGGAAACGGTAGCCCAGGCCTTCCACGAGAGGTCTGAAGAACTCGAAATTGTTGGCCGGCCTGCCGTCAGAGATGAAGTATGCCTGTCCACCGGAGCGGTGCCTCTTCTCTGGGGTCAGGGCCTCCGCGGCCAGCTGGTGGGCCGTCACCAGGTTGTCCACGTGGACAAACTCCACCAGGCTCTTGGGATCCCCGTAAACGAACCGGAAGATGCCGCTCTCTATGTAGCCGACTATCCTGGGCAGGTGCCTCTGCTCCCCTGGCCCGTAGATACCTGCTGGACGCAGGGCACAGGTCCTCAGCGCCCCGGAGCTGCCCCTCAGCGCCGTGCCGTCGGCCTCCAGCACCGCCATCTCGGCCAGAGACTTGGTTCTGGAGTAGTGGTCGGGGTGGAGATGGAGGGGTAGATAAGGGAGGCTTTCGTCGCCGTTCTCTATCACCTGGCCCCCAAAGACCACGTTGAAGGTGCTGGTGTAGACCAGCCTGGACACGCCGTGCTCCACGCAGGCCTTCAGGATGTTCTGCGTGCCCTGAACGTTGACGGCCTCGATGAGCTGCCGGTCCAGCTGCTCCCGCCCGGACATGCCGTAGGAGGCGATGTGGAAGACACAGTCCACACCAGCCGACACGGCCCCCTCCACCTGCGCATAGTCCCGAATATCGCCCCGCACAAAGACGATGTCCTCTGGTCCCTCTTGCCTTGGAGGGGCGGTGTCAAAAAGAATGACTTTGGCTCCCTTTTTATGCAATGCAGAGGCAAGGCTGAAGGGAGACAAATGAGCATGAATAATTAAAGTCCTTCGTTTCAATTTGATAAGGTTTAAAACAAATCTATCACAAAAGACAAAAACTACATGCATTCCCCCAAAACTCAGGGGAAAATGACACAACACTGCCACCCCGTGGTCATTCAGAGTCACAGCAAATTAACATTTTCACATATACTTTGAGGTCTTACCGATATCCAAAATAGCCACATCCTCCAGTTATCAAAACCCTGTTAGAAGATGTGTTCTCCATTGTGACACTGAATACCTGTGAGGTGAGAAGATCAGCATTAATCAGGAAAAAAGTTATAGAAACAACAAACCCACTCAAACGTTCCCACTTAAAAAGGACAGAAATATTAATAGAAAGATGCAGGGCGACTTTATGAGCCAGCCTTAAGTATTTGGATCATTTCACATCAAATCACCAAAATCTTTGAAAAGCAGAGTAAAAATCAGAATGCACACAATTTTTGGAAGGTTGAGAAAACTCACAAATCATTATTTTTCCATTCAGCTTTACTTGAGAGGTTTCTGACTGATTATTAATTTGTGACTTTCACACTGATCCATCTGTACCCTATCCAGTGGCTCATTAGAAATTAATCTGCTGTTGCTATATGCTGCTCAGAATCAAACTGTCCTCCATTCATATTTATTTCTCCTCTAGTTTTACACTCTCGTCTACTAATGATCCAATCTGCTATGAATGAATCCAGTTTTATCATGTGTAGAAAAATGTAGGTTCTGCATAAAGAGCCCTAAATCTGGCAGCTCTGCACAACACCATCAACCATCTGCTGCAATTATTCCATATTATAGAAACATATATGCTATGATGTTGTTTAAAATGATGTAGGCTAATATATGTTCAGGAACACGTACACAATTGAAAACAGACAGACTATTCTTTATTAGTTCATTTCTAAGTGTTGTTGTGCAGGGCTGCAGAACATAACATTAAAAACATACTGAAAAGGTTTTGCCTTGTCATGTGGTCACGTGTTGAACCCAAATTATGAAATATATGTTCATTATTACACCGCAAAGACTTCATGTAAGTATCAGTGATTGGGTCTGAACGTCCTGATGCTTAACAGACCCCTAGTGTCGGACTGGACTTAGTTCTTATGAAAATGGTGAAAGTTGGTTGTCACACATGCTCACAGTTATTCTAAAAGAGGATAGAGTACTCAGAGGGTTTCGTGAGTTGTTGTAAAATAATCCTGCTGTCAAAGTGCAGGGCAAAGGCTACTCCTACGTACACTGCACAATGCATTTCTGCGTATTTGTATCTATTATATAATTGCATATATGTGTAAAACATATATGCATATTATAAAACATGCGCTCTAATGCTGACTTTACCGAACGACCCGGATTTGACAGTAAATCGTCAAATTAGCATTACAGCGCTACATGCTAAGTCCTGTCCTGTTAGCTTCATCATGCGTTCATCAAAAGCACTAACCTCTTCCAAAGCCAGAAATAAATGAGTGAAATTACCGTCCCTTTTCACTCATTTAGCCCACAACCGAATCAACGGAGAGAAAGAGTTTCCACTTCCTGCATACGTTCTCACGCAGGAAAACACAGGAAATACATCTTAAGTGTGTTTGTATAAAAGCAGTAATGAATTAATCTATCTGAAATGAACTAATCTGGAATACATAATTCTCTTTCACTTGGAATATGATACGTAAATTATGGGAACGTCTTATTCTCGACTGATGAAATTCTACTCTGATTAGGACTAATTCTCTGTATTTATACTTTGGTTTTAAAGTAACTACCGGATGTTGTTATTGTACTTGAGCACAATTTACGACTTCCGGAATAGAATGAAATTCAAAATAAAAATAATAATCAGCTATTTGCTCTTTTAACGAAGTTTCTCAGTTCGAATAACGCTGGAATTTTGTAGTTAACGCCAACAATTTTAACAACCAAGTTACTGTAATACACTAAAAAATAATACAAAAATGTTTTTCTATTTTATTAATTAAACTGGAATGTGTAACAACCATTCAGCATCATTTGTTTGAGCACTTCAATAGAAAACAAATATTGTAAAGTAATTGTAAATACACGGTTAAGTTTTCTACATATAACAATTGTAAAGCAACGAAAAACGCAACAGGATAAAAGTTTCTAAGTTTTAGGTGGGTATCGCCCCCATGTGGTTTATACTCCGCACGACGTTGTTGCGGCCTGAAAAACAGGAAGACAGCCATGTCTGTTCACGTTATCCGTTCCGAGAACGGCACAACACACTCAAAGTTACAGGTTACGTCACGATCCAAAGGTAAGAGGTAGTTTTTTTTCAAGGCCTGCACTAAATTATTCAGAATGGATCGATCGACTGAGGGCTGCAATGCAGCCAGCGTTTGGGGGCGAGGCGCACAAGTTATGCTGTTTGTTTTGTTGTTATCGTAAAACTTTCATACTTACAGCTTGTTAATACAAGTTTGTAGTTTATTTGTCCATGAACCAAAAGAAAAGCGGAATAACTTTTAGCTTTACTTGATGACTGCAGAGTTTTTAGGACATCCACTGAGTTGTGCCTCCTTAATATCAAAATAGTTTCTCCTAAGTAGCAAAACTTTAAGTTTATAGTGTACCAACCAATGGTAAATCCTCACAACACCTTATCTATGTTTTGTGTGAGTGGAGGATGACAAAAACTAAACTTGTTGTTGATATGACTTTGGTTGGGCAACATATATAGTATATTTATCTGCACAAATTCGGTGCCATCCTGTAGCCTCTGTAGGACTTTGGCCCATCAAATCCAGTGAATATATGGCATGTCCTAGATTTTACAGGCAAAATGAATTTGGAGGAGTACTTCCAAAGGATTGGTTTCCTTGGCTCTTATGAGAAGGCGGATCTTCCGACGCTGAGGCTGATCCACAAACAACATGTCATATCAATCCCATTTGAAAACCTCAGCATTCACTGCGGAGAGCGGATCGTCATGGACCTCCAGGTTATTTATGATAAAATAGTGAGGAGCAGGCG